ATCCACACCTCTCGTGGTTTAAATATGTAGTGTTCCCCCACAGACTCATGATTGAGGTCTTGATCCCAATGTAGCAATGGCCAGATATGGCCCTCAAGAGGTGAATGGATCATGAGACTGTTACCCTCATCCCTTACTTCACCAATAAGTTCATAGCTGAATGGCCTATTAAGAGTTGGGGCCCAGCTAGAGGAAGTAGGTAATTGTGGTGTGTATTCAAAGAGTATATCTGAGCTCTAGCCCACTCCCCTTTCTCTCACTTCCTTGCTCTTGCTGTGCTTCTTGATTGCCATGACCTCCACACTTTTCCTCCATCCTGCCCTTTTGTAATGTTTTTGCTTCACCACCAGTCTAAAAGCAAAAGGATCTGGCTGACCATGGACTGGAACCTCTGAAACCATGAGCCAAAATAAACCTTTCCTCCTTTTAAATTATGTATATCAGGTACTTTGTCCCAGCAGTGGAAAACAGACTAACATAATGGTTTTCTCACAATCTTGGCAGAAGGATTACACCTTTCCTGAGAGCCCCCAGAGAGAAATTCGGGACAGGCTTCTGATTGATCTGGTTTATGTGGTGTACCCATCCTTGTTTCAGTTCCAACAATGACACAGAATTCTGGCTAGGCTAGAGAAAGGAACTGGGGCAGTCAGTCCCCTTGAATCATCTATACTGGACAGTACTTCCACATGATGATGAAGAAGATAAGTTTCTTGTGGCAGGTTATGCTGGGCAGAAACAATCACAATGTAAGTCCACAATAAAAATACTGTGAATAAATATTAGGTTTTGTAATTAGGACTAAAATGTCTCTCTCTGTGATAGCCTTTATAGAAGTCTCACTATAAATACAAGAAGAAAGAAGAAGAAAAAAATTAAAAATAAAAGAATAGCCAGAAGATGACATAAGCTGAGCAAAGCAGATGATTTTCAGGATTAAAGAGACCTGTAGATGCTTTTAGTCTGAAAAAGGTGAAGTTTAAAAATTATCAGAAAATGAAGAACATAGGAAGAGATTTTAGTCTTGAGAGACATCTCATCTATCGACATAGGAAGGAAAGAGGTTTGGTGGGTATGGAAGTACCATATTTAAGTGACACTAATTTTTGAGCACAGCTTATCTTTGGATTGAAAAATATCTTCTACATATAGGAATGGTCAGAGCACTGTTTTGTTATTTATTTGCGGTGTTTTTCTTAGTGTTACACAAAATAATGGTGTTTCTTATAATCATTATGCTTAGATTTGATGAAATTTGGCTGGTGACTATGTTGATAATTTGAGGGCTTCTGAGTCTAAGCCTCTCCATCCTCTGTTTTCTGAGTAGCTGAAGTAGGAGATGAGTTAAATTACACTGCCCAAAAGGATGCAGTAGGAAATTTTTAGGTTAGGTCAGTGCAACTCCTAGATTGGTTTGACTTTTAGCTCCACCTATGGTCAAGTTGCTTAATTCCTCTAAGCTTCGGTCTTCTCATCCACAGAATAAGAATTCCTAATCTGTATGTTTGAAGTGAAAATTAAATGAGATGCAAGGGATGATCTAATATATGGCATATGTTTAAATTTTTTTTAAAAATTGTTACAGTAAAAGACACATTGCATTCATCCCCCTCAAAATACTCCTCACTCTTCAAATACACTTATCCGATAGACCCTGCCACTTTCTGAAGCCATTCTGGAAGTTCTTTTTTGTGAGTGTCTTTACAAGGTGTGATCAAAAATATAGGAATGCTGCAGCCCAGTGCCATCAATGGAAAGGTAGGCTCGCAAAAACATGACAGTGTGTCTTCACCATCTGGCACCATGTGACTCTTGACTCCTTCTCAAAAATCAAAATGATCATGAAAAGTAAATGTTTTGCATCAGTTCAGCACATTGAGACAGCCACAACAGCACAGCTCTGGAAAGACTTCCAGAACTGCTTCAGAAAGTGGCAAGAATAATGGGATAACTGTACTCAAAGAGAGAGCAAATATTAAAGAAGATTAATGGCAATGTGTCTTTTACTGCTGTACATTATTTTTATTTAAGCACACAGCATATTTTTATTACACTTTGTATACACATGAGGGAAAAAAAACTAGGATGTTTCCTGGGCCACGGAAAGTGTTTCAGTAATTTTCTTGTACTGTTGTTAGTTTTAGCTGTTGCTGTTGCTCTTACTTTTGGTTTAAGTGAGGTATGAATGTCTGAAAGAACTGCCAAGGTGGGTAGGAAAAATACCTAAGAACAACAGGTGCAATGCTGTGAACCCCTCAGGGAGTCGGAACAACAGCCCCACAGTGCCCCAGTAGGCCAGGAGGTGTGAGCTTCTCCAACAGGGGGCGCTGATCAGGCATAGGTGTGGTGGTGGCAGTTTGTTTTTGTTTTTGTTTTTTATTTTAAAGAGTAAAAGAAGGATAACATAATAATAGGGGCGCTTACCAAATTACACACAAAGTGGTAGGAAATTATCAATAGTTATTGTTTTACATATGTTATCTACAAGATAGTTTCTCAGGAAAACAAATACACAATAGTGGGTTACAGACAAAAGAGGTAAGAGATTATCAATAGTTGTTGTACTATTCTTTGGTATCTTCAAAGTGGCTTGTAAAGAAAATAAATAGAGCTATACATGAGTGACCTATTGAATAACCATTAACTTTTCTCAATGGTTGTTGTAGGAAACACATAATAATAGACATGCATCCATTTATTAAATAGGATAGGAACAATACAAACATTGCAGAGTTATGGATAGATTAGTAGGAAAATATCAATGGCTGCTGTAATACATGGTGGTATCTTCAAAGTGGTTTCTCAGGAAGACAGAGATAAGCAAGAAGGATCTAACAAGTAGTTACAGCTTAAGGGTTGTCAAAAATCAAGTGAGCCATCTGGGGCAAAAGCCATTTTTTGTAGTGTTTTCTCTCCAGCCTCCCATCACATTGGGATCCCACAACCAGTTACTGTCTTCTCCCCAACTGTCAACACAGGCAGCAGGAATCCCGCTGCAGATTTCTCCGGAGCTCCACCACAGCCTTTACTGTCAGGGGAAGAATGGCTTCCAGGGAGTCTCCACAGGTATTGTGCAAGGTCCTCCTGGTTTACAGCTGCCAAGTGGCTCTCGTGACCCCAGTTCACCGGACCTCTGACTCTGGGCTTAGTCTGCATTCTCATGTTCTCTGAGTCCTTGTTCAGCAGCTGCTCCTCCGCTGACTCTGGACCTTTCTGGTTCTCAATGGCAGGAACAAGAGTGACCCGTTGCATGGCATGTATTCCCAGGGGTTTCTCCATGTTTGAATGATTCACACATGTCCGTGGGTGGGCATCTGCAGCCGGTGCATGGTGGGCCAATTGTGTCATTGTTTCTCTGTGTCATGGTTGTTCTCAATTGAGCGGTGGGGGCCAGCCTGAGGGCCAGCGCGGAACAGCACTGGCTGCCGCATGGCTCCCCTGCGCCGGGGGCACTCCTTCTGGGCGCCTAAGAGGCAGGGAGCAAGCCAGCCCAAAGACTGGCACTCCCTACCCATGGCTCCCCGTGCTCCTGGACCCCTCCTTCTGGGCGCCTACGAGGCAGGGAGCAAGCCAGCCCGAAGACGGGCGCTCCCCGCCTGTGGCTCCCCTTATGCTGGAGGCCCTCCTTCTGGGCACCTATGAGACAGGGAGCCAGCTGGTCGGAAGACTGGCGCTCCCCGCCCCTACTTTGTACCATCAAATGTTTGGCTTCCTGAGGGCAGCCACATGCTAATTATTCTGCTGCTGCTGGGCCTTGGGCTGGGCTGTTTCTGGCGAGTAGTACTTTTCCATTTGGCCTCATGCTTACCCTCACCTCTCTCAGACTCCTCAAGTGCCACTTCTACAGGGACACCACTCTGTCTGTCCTGCCTAAAGTAGCTCTCCCTACCTCACCTGCTTGGTTTTTTCATTAGTGAATGATGGCTCCTAATACACTGTTTTGTTTTTGGTACCAGCAATCAAACTCAAGACCTGGTGCTAGCCAGGCAGGTGCTACACCGCTGAACTATATCCCCAGCCCTATGGCCCCTACAATTACAGTGAGTTTTTATTTGCTTAATTTTTTTTGTCTACCTGTCTGGTAAGGAGGCAGCTGTGACTTAGCCATTTTCACTGCTCTCTCTCTCTCTCCAGTTCTTGCTGCAGAGTGCGCGCACACACACACACACACACACACACACATAATTGTTGAAGACACAAATAAATCAATGAAAAAATAAGAGTGAGAGAGCAACCTCTGTAATCATGAAAAGTTCAGGAGGCAGGGGAAGGGAACAAAGCCAAGGGCGCTGACACTCACTTGCACGCTCCTCCAGAGAGCCCTCCTGAGCACCTCTCTACTCTGTTCTAGGTACTGGAGATGAACCAATGAGCAAAACACAGAACTCCCATTCCCTGAGACTTATGTGCTGCTATGGGAGAGAGAAAATAAGCAAGGACAGTAATTAATTATGCACTGCCTTAGAAAGGGATATGAGCTGTGGAAAAGTGGAGCATGGTAAGCGGAATCTAGAATGCAGGAAAGAGGGTGAGCAGTTCCAGTTTTCAAATGAGTAGTCAGGAAAGACTTCGGAGATAGAAGAATCGTGGCACCAGCACAAAAGAGGCCACAGTGTGACTCTTAAAGCCAGGGGTAAGATTTCTCTGGGAAGAAGTCTCAGCCAGAACAAGTAGCCTGAGGTAGGCGCAGGCCTGAAGGGAGAGCCCAGAGGCCAGGGTAGCTGAGGCAGAACCAGGCTGGGGAAAGGCCAGGAAATGAGCAGGGTATAGGCCATCACCTGCCACTGCAAGAATTTGGGATTTTATTCTGAGCACTGGGAAGCCATACGGGATTTTAGGTGATAGACTGGAAAGATTGGAATTTTTTTTTTAAATAAACTGAGACTATTATTCCCATTTTCTAATTAAGAAAACTGAAGTTCAGAGCATGAGTTATTTATTCAAAATCACAGAGCAAGTGACAACGCTGGGATTGGAACCCAGATATCCTAAACTCATGGTCTCAGCCAACAAGCACTGTCTGCCCCAGACACACACAGCACAGGGCTCCTTCCAAGGCAGGAGAGCAGCATGCCAGCTCCGTAGGGGGTAAGGGTGTGCCGCCAAGGGCAGAAGCTGTGCCTCACAGTCGTTCTTTGTGGACGGGTCCTTGTCCGCTGCCTCCACCTGCTATGTAATAGAAGGGACCAAGAGGGACAGTGTCACCAAAGTACTATTGGGCAAAATCTAGAAGAAAAGTCCATCCTTGAAACATCAGCTCCTACCCCTCACAGCCTTGGGAGAAGAACTACCTACCCTGTCCTCACACTCTGATTTTTTGTGGCCATTTTTGAACTTTGAGACATCGGCCATGGCATTCATGACTCTGCCTGGGCTGGACACCTCAAAACAGGCTAGTGAGATTTTGTAGGTCACTAGAACTAGAAAGATTCTAAGTGATCTGCCTGTTAGCCCTGGGATCTGAAGCAAGTGAAGAGGAAGAAGCAAGGAAGAGGAAGAAGCTGGTGAGCAGAGGGAGAAAAATGAAGCCAGCAGGCCAGCATCGCAGGCTCTCTAAAGCAGCGCTGGTCCAGACAGGTTCTTGGCTATGTCCAGAAGTAACGCCCATGTATTCTCTGTTTTTGTGTTGTTTTGTGTTTGTTTGTTTGTTTTTCTTCCAGTACCAGGAATCGAACTCACAACCTTGCACTTCCAGGCAGGCGCTGTGCTGCTGAGCTAAATCCCCAGCCCACCCATGTATTCTCAATACCTGCTTTTCCTGAGTGGTAACTGGAAAATGAACCACACCAGGCTAAAGCAAGTTCCAGGTCACTTAATATTTTCAACAAGTGTCTTCTTCAGCTCTGCGTGGTAGGGGCGGTTCAGCACCACTGTCCGCCTTCCTGGGCGATCTCGCTCCATCTCCTCTGCCTGCAGCAGAACAGAACTCACATTAGCAGAAGTCTTTCCTGACCTGTACCATGATAAGCTAACGTCGAAAGCATTTTACAAGCACCCTCTTTTTTCCTACTGGGTATCTTCCTCTTTTTTTTACCATGACTGCTAACCCAGTTCTGAACAAGGGATCCTCAGGATAATCCTAGTGAGTCCAAGCCACCTTCTAATATCCAATTTAATCTCATAAAGGCTAAGTGAGCACCTGGTACGTGCTAGGTGCCAGAAACAACTATGCACGGGGCAGATAAGTCCTCAGGGATCTTCACTCTAACAAACAATAAGAATCAACAAAGTTGCATGTGGTGTTCACACATGCAATCCCCCCACTCTGGGAGGCTGAGGCAGGAGGACTGCAAGTTTGACCTCAGGTTGACCAATTTAACAAGACCCTGTCTCAAAATAAAACATGTATTTAGAAGAGGGAGTGTCTAGGGGGCTCAGCACAAAAGCCCTGCGTACAATACCTAACACCTTACACCCAGAGAGACAAAAAAAGAAAAATCAACAAAACAAACCTGTAATCTCACTTTGGTTTCGCTCACACAGTTCTGCTTTGCACAGAGAATTCAGTTTTCAGGAACATAAAAAGACAGTAGCTTCTTTTCCCTGTAAACTTAAGAATTTCAAGTTGGTCATTTGCTGACCTCGTAAACACTTGGAACATAATGCAGGAAAAACTGATTAAAACTAAAGCATGTCTCCTTGTCTCATGGGCTGAATACTTCCATTAAGGTTTGAATATCCTCCTTGTTCCTGAAGCCACGGCATCCTGCCAAGTCATTAACTTTCTGATAGCCTGTCCTCTCCCCCAGCTATCTGTTCCAGATCTGCGCTGGGTGACTCGGGTTTCATGGCTGCTTTGACAGGACTCAGGAACAAGCAAACACGCAAGGACTAAATCTGAAAAGACATTGCCTGAACTGTTCTCTGCCTCCGATCAATGGAAAGGGGAATGGAGTAAAGCAGAGCTTCTCTGCCTGCTTGCTGTATCCATGCAGTCTTCTGTGTTTTTTCCATTTCACAAACTTACACAGTGACATTGACCTTTCCTGTGTTCAGCTCTATAAATTTTGACATGTGTATAAATTCATGTAACTACCACCATAAGCAAGATATAGAACATATCGTTTCCATCCCAGGCAAAAAGAAAAGGTCCTTTATCTTATCCCTTTATCATCACTCTCCCCTGCAGCCTAATTCCCAATAAAGCACTAATCATTGATCTATTGCCTATCACTCTGGTGCTGTCTCTAGAGAATTTCATATAAATGGAATCTAACCTCTTAAGATCAGCTCTCCGCTTAATGCCTTTGAGATTCATCCAAGCTGCTGCATGATTAAGTAGCTGATTTCTGTATACTGTTGAGTAGTCCATCATTTAGATATACCACAGTTTGTTTGTTCATTCATTAGCTGAAGAACATTCAAGTTGTTTTCAATTTGCGGTGACTATGAATAGAACTACCATATAAACATTTATGTACAGAGTTTTTTGGGTAAGCTTATTTATTTTTCTATGGCAAATACCTAGGAATGGGATTACCGGATGTAGTCATAGATATATGTTAACTTTTATTTAAAAACTACCAAGTTTTTTTCCCCAAAAGAGCCTGAATCCTTGTGCATTTCCTGGGGCAAAATATTAGCATTCCAGTTGTTTTACATCTTTGCTATCATTTGTTATTTTAGTATTTTCTTTTTATTTTAGCCATTCTAATAGATATGAACTAGGAACTTAGCTTGGCTTTCCCTAATGGCTAATTATGTCATGTACCTTTTCATAAGCTTGTTTTCCATCCATGTATCCTGGGTGTTAAAGCTATTCAAATCCTTTGTCCATTTAAAAGTTGAATTATTTTCTTGCTATTGAAATGTGAGGATGGCTTACATATGCTGAGTAAACGTTCTTTACTGGAAATGTGATTGGCAGATATTTTCTTCCAGCCTCTAGGGTCTCATGTCTAAATAGTGTCTTTTGCTTAGAAAAAGTTTTTAATTTTGATAAGTCCAATTTATTAAATTCTTACTTTTATACAGTGTGTAGGTAGTGTCCTAACAAAGCCTTTTCCCTGCTCTGCAGTCGTGAAGAAAAGTATCCTATCCTTCTAAAAGTTTTACAGGTGTATGTGTTACATCTGTAATTCATGTGGGTTTTTTTCACTCCAACACTGATAATATGATGGACAGGATAGTCCAGTATTCAGCATTGACTCAGTCTTACACTTGCAGGATAAATTCTAACGTGCCATGTTATCTTATTCTTCTTGCACATTGTTGAATTTGGTTTTGTTGATTTTTGCACATTTTCATGAGGAATACTGGCCTGTAGATTTCTTGTACTTTTTTAGTTTTCCTATCAAGGTAATGTTACGCCCTAAAAGGAGCTAGGCAGCGTTTCTTCCTCTCCTGTATTCTTCTCCTTCTGAGATCCTGATGACACAAATGTTTGACTTGTTGGTTAGGTTCCTTACGTCCCTGAATTCCTTTTTTTTCCTAATCTTTTTCTCTCTGTTAATTAAACTCAGTAGTTTCTATTGCTTTACCTTGAGTTTCCCTTGTTCTTTAACTTCTTTCTACCATCGAGCCTGTCCAGTGAGTTTTATGTTATATTTTTCAGTTCTAACATTTCAAAGTATTCTTTATATTATCTTCTGTTGGTTTGCTTGGGAAATTTTATCCTTGCACTTGTATAAGAATTTATTTCCTTACTTGACTGAGCATTTTTACAATAGCAGCATTATTGTGGCTTTGTTGGGTAACCCCAGTATCTGTCTCTGCGGTGTTGATGTCTCTTGATTATCTCTTCCCAAGTTAATCATGCTCTGGTTCTTTGTATGCTGCCTGCTTTTGGTTTGTGTTCTAGACATCTTGAGTTTTGTGTTATGTGATTCTAGGTCTTGTTAAAATCCTACAAAAAATATTAATATCTTTGACTTGGTAGGAAACTGACAATCCATCTGTGAGTTCCACCTAGTTTTGAGTGTGGGTTACAATTTCAGTGTCAGCCCAGGGTTTAAAGCTTCCATAGCCCTTTAGATCCACCACATCTATGTACCACAATGTTCAGTGAAGGATCTGGTCAGCAATCAGTCCTGCTGTTCAGCTCTCAGTGTCTGTGTGGCTTAAACTCACATCCAGGCATGTACAAATCAAGGGTGAGCCCAGGAGTTCATAAACGTCCTTAAGGAGCTGCACTCTCACATGCTGTTCTGTCTGTGAGCTCTGGTATCTCCTGGTTCCCTAGGGCTCCTGTCTTTGCTTTTCTGGTCAGGAAGCTGGGGTTTGGGTAGATTTACTGTAATACCTTGGTTCATGAACACTTCCCTTCATGAATAGAATCATTCAGCAAAATTTTGCTTCTGTTTGCGAACTCCACATCAGGTGGTGTACATGGCCTCATCGATCTTCCCCACACTAACACGTGGCTGTGACTTCCTCTGGTCCACATCATGGTCGCAGACAAACCCATGCACACTTGCTGGGAGGCTTGTTAACACATACAGTACTGAATAGTATTATTCAATCCAGCATGCCTCCCAAGAAGGTGCAGAACAAGAATGAGGTAATAAGAAGCCACAGAGCAAGAATGGTAAGCAGAAGGTTTTGAAGAAAATAACCACTGAACCGAAGAAGGACATTGTAGAAAAGCACGAGCGTGGTATTCATGTGACTGATCTGGCCTCGGAGTACAAGACGGCAAAGTTGACAATTTCAACTATTCTGAAGAATAAAGATGCCATCAAATGAGCTGACTTGGCAAAAGGAGACACAATGTTAACCAAGTGGAGGACACAAGTGCTGGAAAAGGTGGAAAACTTCGGTTAGTGTGGTTGCAGGAGAAACAGCTGGCAGGTGATAGCGCTAGTGAAGCGATGGACTGTGCAAAGGCCAGGGAATTGCAGAGTGATTTACTACAAGAAAACCCCTCAAGTGCAACACGTGATAAATTTAAAGCCAGAAGGGGGTAGTTTGATAAATTCCACCGGAGAAATGGCATCCACAGTGTGACAAGACGTGGTGAAGCTTCCAGTTCTGACAAGGCTGCTGCAGACGCCTACAAGAAAGACTGTGGAATTCATGAAAGCAGAAAAATATGTTGCTCAACAAGCGCTCAACTGCGATGAAACAGGGCTCTCCTGGAAGAAGACACTGAACAGAACCTGCATCCCACAGGAGGAAAAGGCACCACCAGGGCACAAGCCCATGAAGGACAGATCGACCCTTTTGCTGTGTGTGAACACAAGTGCTGGTCTGAAGATTAAGCCTCTACTGGTGCACCATTCCCAGACCCCTCGTTCTTCAAGGAACAAAATGCGAATGAGGCCATGCTGTCTGTGATGTAGAGGGACAATGCAAAATTGTCTGGGGTCACAAGGCAGCTGTTCATGGAATGGCTGGTGAGGTGTTCACACCCATCACTAAGAAATATTTTTCTGACAACCAACTGCCTGAAAAGGTGTCTTCTTCTGATGGACAATGCCCCAGCACACCCTCCAGCCTTGGTGGATGATATGGACACTGAGTATGACTTCATAAATGTTACATTCCTCCTCCACAACACGACACCTTTTCTGCAGCCCACGGACCAGCAAGTGATCTGCAACTTCAAGAAGTTGTACACAAAGGCACTCTTCATCAGGTGTTTGAATATCACTAAAGAGACATCCTTGACTCTGAAAGAGTTCCAGAAGAAATATTTCAATGTCCTCTACTAGGTCAACCTCAGTGACAAAGCCTGGGAAGATGTCTCATACTAGACCTTAAACTCTGCCTGGAGGAAACTGTAGCCAGAAGGTGTCACGGGGGCTGGGGATTTAGCTCAGCGGCAAAAGTGCCTGCTTGGCAAGCGCAAGGTCGTGAGTTCGGTTCCCAGTACCGGAGAAAAACCAAAAAAAAAAAAAACAGAAGGTGTCACGGAATGCGACTTGGAAGGGTCTGCTGTACAGGTACTGGAGGAGACTGTGTCCATGGGTAAGAGAATGGGTCTGGACATCAATGGTGCAGACATAGAGGAGCTTGTTGGGGATCATAAGGAAGAGCTGACAACAGAAGAATTTGCTGAACGCTGGAGTGAGCAGCATAAGCACTTGTTAAGGAGCATTCTACTGAGCAAGAGGAAGACAAGGAGGAGGTTAGCAGTGATATGACCAGTCCATTATGGAAAAAGGAATGAGCTCCAGGATTTCTTTAAGAAGCACCAACTACCCCAACTTAACTATAATGAACAAAGTGCTGAATCTGATAAACAATAACATGGTCTCTCATTTCTGGAAGGTTCTGCAGTGCAGAAAAAACTGATATTAGACAGATTTTTCATCAAAACTGACCCTGCAGCTGAGAGACAAAGAAGAGAGGAAACTCCTGCAGGATATCTCCCCAAAGTCCTTTTGGAGAAGGACGTTCCCTCTGAACAAAAACCTCCTCCCCACCCACCTTCCTGTCCTTCACACCAGAAGTCACCTCAAGTAAGGTTAGTATTCTCTCTCTTTGTACTATACTGGGCTGTACTTTGTTTCATATTTTTGTGGTTAAAATATGCATATCGTTCTGAATGGATTAATCTTATTTATATTGCACCTTATGGGGAAATTTGATTTGGTTTGTGA